CAGGTAGGGCATTAACAGGGAGAGGGGGGCACAAGGAAATGCTTTCTTATTCTCATTTAAAATATCCAGCTTTTAATAAATAATTATCTGAATCTTGCGAACAAAGTTTTTATCTGACGTATAATGTATAGAAATCATACATATACCAAAAAGACTGTACATCACTGTCACAACAGCGTTTGTTCTCTTATTGTGCTCTTATTTTCATATTTTTAAATTCTAATGCAACTGAATTAACACAATGTTTAACATTAGAAACTGTAATTCATGCTTTTACAACATCACGCCTGGATTACTGTAATTCCATTTTAATAGGAGCTGGCACTCTGTCACGCTTACAGTTAGTGCAAAATGCTGCGACTCGATTTTTAACTGGTAGAAGGAAATTCGACCGCATCACTCCGGCTTTGGCCTCTCTACATCGGCTTCCAATCAAATTTAGGATCCGTTTTAAAGTTCTTTTATTGGTTTTTAAATCTTTAAATGGTTTGGCACCCGTTTATTTGTCTGATTTGTTGAAGCCTTATGTTCCCACTTGTTCCCTCAGGTCAGCTGAGAAACTGCTGCCTTCAGTCTCTGAGTCACGGCTGAAACTCAGAGGAGAGCGGCGTCCTCTGCTGTGGCCCCGTTGCTTTGGAACAATCTTCCTCTTCATATGAGGCTACATCAGTGCCGTTCTTTAAGTCCAGATTAAAAACCTATTTTTATTCTCTGGCTTTTAACTCTTTGGGTCACTGACATTTGTATTAATTTTATTGTTTTGTTCGGTTCTTATATTATTATTAATAGTTGTATTGTTCAGCACTTTGGTGTGTTTTTAAAGTGCTGTATAAATAAACGACGCTGGTGATGATGATGATGATATTACTTCAATTTCAACCTGAAGATGTTATGAAAGTTCTGGACACCCCGTGCCCCCCTTAGACTCACCCCAAATATGACGGCTGTCGTCAGCCTTCAGCTCTATAATTTAACCAGTCTGGTATCAGACTAAGTTAACTGGTCATCTGCATAACTTCTGAGGCTTACTGCAGATTACTCTCTGTGTGTGAATGGAGCAGCGACAAAGTTCGTTTTTCTTCACGTTGGAGTTGATCAGGCACTTTGATGAAGGACTCGCCACTCTAGATTTTTCCCAGTTAAGGTTTTACTGGTCATCACTGGAACTGTGCTCCTGTTTCGGACGCCAGAAACACGTTTTCTTTCACTCAACCTGAGCTCGGTTTCTCGGTAACGCCTCCGCCTCTTCGTGGTGTGTGAACTACGGAGCCCCTCTGATGACATGGTCCAAAAAATAAATAAATTGTGCCCTCGAAATACTTTTTGTGGCCATGAATTGGGTGTAACGTGGCAACGAAATAGATAACGTGCGCACATCATATTGATACAATTCCAGCTGTGTAGAGACATGAGCATGAGAGCAGGCTAAACCTTTACACCGTGGACAGAGACAGTATGAAGTTTTATTTTAGGCTGGGGATGAGCTACAAATGCTGAAAAGCCTGCAATGCAAGGAACCATTATTACAGAGAGACATTTAAACAGGATACTGAGAGCCCAGTTGCTTTACAGACGTAAGTAGGACCTGGACGCCGGGATTTTATTGTCAACCAACGCAAGGGCCTGAAGGATCACGGTTCTCGGTCAAATGTTTCATGGGCACAAATTAGTATTTCGTGCCCTTGAAACAGTATTTTGTGGCCTCAATATATTTATTTTTTGGACCGTGTCATCAGAGGGGCTCCGT